TCTCTGCCAAAGTGGCTTGTGCGTCTCTCTCCCTCAAAAATTTATGTGAATGTTTCGTTTTATTCATATTATGTTATGTATGGTATTTATTATTTGATTAAATAAATTTGACATCCTAATGCTAAATTAACTTGAAATCTATTTTGTTAAAATATTCTTTTCTTTTATTCTTATATTATATTAATTATTGTTTTTATGCATGATTGATGTATAATACATATAATAGCCTCCGTTTGTTACCCATTATTTCTCCATTAAAATGAAAAATATGATCATTATTCATCACATCAAGTATCAAATTTGAATTTCTATCTCTTGTGTGAGGCCAATAACAATTATATTTTTCATTCTAATTTTTACAAAAATAAGAAACAAACGTCCCCATATTAACTTTGCATGCACGCAAGACATTTTAGTGTAGACATACTATTGTTTTTAGTAACAAATGTTTAATTTCTAAACAAGAATTTTTTAAATTGTACTTTTCCTCAAAAACACAATTTCATAATTTTACTAATAGTCTTGAAGAATATTACGTTAGTATTTTTAATTCCATATTTTCTTGCCCCGTGAAATTAATAGTTAATTGAGCCAAAAATAAAAAATAAAAAAATTTAGATATAAGAATTAAAATAGTCTGTAATTTAAAAAGTTCAATTTCCATTACAATTTTAAACTCTTAGAAAATACATGACCTTATCGAAATCAATTATTTTGTGGGCTCGAGGAAGCTCACCATTTAGGGGTTTCTCTTATTTTAGTTTTGGGCCAAACCCATGTAATGTAAGTATTTAGGTTAGATTAAAAGGGAAACATAATGTCACCAAATCACTTAGGGGTGTCAAGAGTCGAGCAAATTTGTCCACTTGAAAAATGTACCATCTCGAACCCCAATTTAGCAAAAATATTGAGGGTTGAGTAATTAACAATGTTTAGGTTAAATATCTCATAAAGTCACTCAATCCTCAATTACATTAACATTAGGCTCGACCATACTTTTCATATTTATCAGAATTTTTTTTGTGCCGAATTTAAACGAACAATTATATCTCATTTCTAATATCTGATAACTTAAGCGTTTAGATAAGATGATTAACAGTGTATTAACAGTATATTAAGATTAATAAAGATCTACCTTCAGGTTTTTTCGCTACTTATTTATAAAATAACTGTACACGTATCAAGTCAATGGTGAAAAATAAATCCCACCTAAATCTGAAGGGGCATAAAAGACAAACTTTAAATAAATAATGTATCCATCTCTTTAATAGATTAAACTTTTATATCCAGTGGTTCAACAATTTAAACATGTAATGAGCTCCACTCCAATTAAACTACAATACCAAGAAAGAAATTACCATTTCTTTCATGCATTGTACCAAGATTTATTCTCATATAAGTACTAAATTTGGATTCAAGAGTTCCAGATTTACAGAGATTAATTTTATCAGCAGTCCAAACATCTCTAATTTTTCACTAACTCTAATTCTTTATTTACTTTATCATCAGCTTCCAAGAAATTTGACACTTTTCCATTTTGATCAGCAGACTCCAAATCTTCATCACTTCTTTCAGTTTCAATTTGCTCATTTATGGGTTTATATGTATAATGCCATGCACAAATCACATAATATATCAAGTTTATTACTTGTATTGCTGTAACTAGCCAGTAATAATTCTCCAGTCTTCCCCTGTTCAAATTTCTGTCTGGTAGCCAGTTTCTGTTCTTGCCAGTGTATTGGTGCACTAGAGATACCATGAGGGTGCTTATGTAATTCCCCATTGCTATAGCTATCCAGAAGAGTGCAGCTGCAGTGCTTCTCATGCTCTCGGGTGATTGGTCGTAGAGGAACTCGAGGTGGCCGACCGACATGAAAACCTCGGCTAATCCGTGGAGGCAATACTGTGGAAGTAGCCAAAAGACAGTTATAGGAATGACAGCAGTTGGTTGGTCCAAAAGGTTATGTTGTGCTGCTGCTGTTTTTCGTCTGATTTCGATAAATCCTGAAGCTATAGTTGCGAGAATGTTGATAACGAAGCCTATTCCCATTCGTTGTAGGCAAGTTATGCCCACTGGATTGCCTGTGAATCGACGAGCTACAGGGACGAAAAGGCGCTCGTACAGAGGTAAGCCGATTAGGACAGTTAGGGTACTGAATATCGACATGCTTGCTGGGGGTATCTGGAAAGAGGGAGACAGATGGCGATCCATGCTACGAGCTTGTTGGATCGTAAAACTGCCTAAATGGGAGTGTGAAGCGACGAGGAGTATTGTGGCTGCCCATATAGGTAGCATTCGGATGATGGACTTTAATTCTTCAATTCTGTGCACAGTAGCTAGCCTCCACAGATTTGGTTGATTTGATTCATTTATATCAGAACCAGTGACTATAGCAGCATGATCTAACCACCTTCAGATAACAGCATATATAAGAAGTATAAGAAAATCATTTGATTGACTAATAGTCGAAAACTGCACAAAATATATCGAATCACTACATAGTAAATTGAAACAGAGAAATAATCTAAAAGTCGAAAAAGGCAAGAATGTAACATTGTTACATGTAAAGACAGGTTCATATGCTGGGCATGAATGAGGAATATAATTGTGTAACAATACTCATCGGTCTTGATATCATGTCCGTCTAGCCCAATTTACAGAACTTGGCGACAAATTGATCAATCAAAACAGTCATCTAGTAAAATCTTACTTGAATTGATTGGAGTGCAGAAGCCTCCCATTAATAGAGATAGCGGCATCAAGCTCCTTGTTTTCGTACAGGAGTTGAGGGTCTTTTGGCATGACAGCATTTCGTTTCTTAACAGCTGCGGTGATTACCTGTGTCACTCTAACAAAAGGGCTCCCTCCCGGTTTAATTTTCCTATACAGACGGGAGCCTAAAACGAAAGCCACTATCGATATACCCATGACAATAGTTGGAACTCCAAGCCCCCAACCCCAACTCACATTGTCTTGGATATAAACCACAACAGTTAAAGCAGTTAGAGAGGCCATTCCCATGCAGAAATAGTACCAATTAAAGAAGTTCCAACTTCCTGAATCTGTTTGTGCTTTGGTCATATCAAACTGATCTGCAGCAAAGGTAACTACACAAGGCCTAATGCCACCTTTACCCAAAGAGGTTAAAAGGAGAGCAATGTAGAGCACCCACAGCTGCAGGGTGGAGGCTTCTTGGCAATTCACCTGTGTTGGACACGGCGGGGGACGGAGCTTAGGCAGGACCGCCGATAAAGTGATGCTACACATCCCCTGTACAATATATATGTCATGTTACATTTGATCCACAGCTACAGAAAATTTGAACTATAATTTAGTTTTGGCCCTAAATGTGAAGTCTAATTAACTGGTACTGATTCAGCAGTGCAAAAATAGTTTTTTCGAATATAAACTGAGGACATTTTAAAGAAAATTAGTAACTCATTAGTCATTCAAACAAATTTCCCTTTTTCTTTAGTTTCAGAGAGAGAGGTACAAACCAGGACATATATAATAGAAGCCACAACTATTGTCCAATATCTACCAGCAAAGGAGTCAGCAATAAAAGCACCAACAAGAGGGGTAAAGCTGGAAGTTCCACCAAAATTAGTAAGGGTGTTGGATGCCTTTACCAAAGGCAAATTCAGCACTTGAGTAAGATATGTGATCATATTTGCATAAAATCCAGCACCAGCAAATCTGTCACATATTTCATTTGCTGTCAAAAAAACATAACCATCCATTTGTCAATTCATAGCTCTAATTTTCTGAAATTCATGCAATTTTTATGTACATCAAGAAAAACAACTAAAAAGGTCATTTTTTAAGTATGACCTACATGCAACCAAGAAAAGCACGAAAAAGCCGTAGTTAAGTGCATCCTAACATGCTAAACATTCTGCCCTTTAAATACTCGTGAAATAATACTAATTTGCATAGACGGTGTATAAAGATTCTAATGCAATATTTGTATGAACTATGGGCCAATAAGTTCAAGAACCTTAATTTAAGTTGAGAAAATAGCATTTAAATCTTTGAATTAATTAGTACGATGATCCTTCTGTCATTTTCTGCCACAACTTGTGAGATTCTTGACTATGTGAATAAATCGAATATGCAAAACATCGTAATTTCTTTATTATTCTATCGATAAGCAAATTTGTAACTTATTTAATAACTTAAACTGTTATATAAAACAGTGTAGAATAGTATTGAACATCTTGAATTTAAGTAAAGCCGTCATTAATTCAATTTGTATATGAAGAACGTGATAGAAACAAAATTTAATTTTGCATCCTTTGTAAACCAATATACCTTCTATACAAGTAGTTTAACGATGCTGTTGTATTCGTGTTTTTAATAGATTATGCCTAAAAGCCTAATGGAAAGCTAAAGGAGAAATTTATCCAACAATATGTAGCCACAGTTAGTATAGTATACTAACAGCAAATTTTGCCTAACTTAAAAGTTCAAGTAAAGTTACTTAGAAGTAAGAAAGTAAGTTTTAAAGTAAATGAATTGTTTAGTAAGTGTTACTTTTTCCATCTTAAAGTTAGTGACAAAAAGATACTAAGGAGAAATTTTACCCTTTTTAGGCTTAGCCGAATACAACCATTGTCTGTGTTTGTGCATAATCACTTAATGAAAAAGATGAGAATGTAGACTCACCTAGGATAAATGGCATTGTTCTAACTCCTCCAAGCTGTTTCTTTTTGCACTTATTCCCATCTTTCTTCTTCTCTTCACCATTTTCAGTCACTTTCTTCTGTAACTCAATCTTCGGCTCCATATCAAAAGACTAAAGGCCTCGCCTCTACTCAATATAGGTTGTTCAATCGTGCTCGAGTATGATATAACACGACAGTCTATGGCCAGCTCAAGACGCTCACAACTCTGGTATTTATTAGCAATGATTGGATACCAGCAACAGAGAAATTTCTGTAAACTGGTTAGTGGTGTGGGCCAAAATATTGAATTGATTGACTAGTGATGTGTTGTCTTGTATAGTATATTCAGATCATACAAATTAATTTAACTTGTTCATTGAAATAATTGGTTTTATAGCCATTTTTGGCATCTGCAAACCAATTTGAACTACTTTTCAGTTCTAGAAACTAGAATGTAGAAATTACAATTATTTGCATTCACTAGATTATGATCTAGCCAGGCCAAAAAATTAAAAACATAAACTTATACAGATATTTATTTGATAGAATATATAAATTTAGAAAACAACCACATATAAACTTCTCTTTTTAGTCATCTTCACACAATAGAACCTTATCAAAAAGTTTAATCAATTTAAATAGTTCGGCAATTATTTCATTACATTTTCGACTACAATACAATACACTACAACAGAACTCGTTACAATAGACAAAGGCTAAATGGAGTCTAAGGTATCGAGCATTCTTCCTTTTCTTATTTTCAAACGAAAAATAGTGAACAACTTGAAGGTAAACAAATATAGGAACAATACCTTCACATGCATATAATTCAAATCAAAGGAACCAAACTTTATGTTCAAATTAAGTTTTATCTTCTTGACCAAATATTTTTTTCGCCAATATGTTTAAATGAATGAAATTCGGAACAATAAAAATAATGTTAATATGTTTAATATAATAGATACTTGTTGCTGACAGTTGGAAGTGTGAAAAAGTTCAGAGTTTACATGTTCAATTACGTGCATTAAAATATCCGTTGACCCATGAAATTGTTATTTTATAGACGTGACATAATTTTAAGAATATAGTGTAAAAAAATATTTTTAACCAGTTATGTAACAAAATGTTAAAACTTTACAAGAAAATTATATGTCTAACTCAGTAAATCTATACCTGTTAACATGTGATACGTGATCATGAATTCTTTTTCACTTTTTATCTTCATAAGTAGGAAACACGAATTTTTCCTTCTGTCCATTCGTAAGACTGTTACATGGATTATCTATTTTAATTTTATATTCAGGAGATGTGAATACGAATCAAAACAAAAGAGTTTGAGTTCAGAAGAAAACAAAGTGTGAATAGTATGATAAATATACACCATTTATTGTACTTTTTATCCTTAGAACCCTTGACAACAAATTAAATAGTGCATTGGTGCTCTCCCATTGTGGAAGTTTGGCAGTGAGGAAATTTTTTCTATCAAGCCCACAAAAAAGTGAGTATTAAATGGAAAAAAAAAGGGAAAATATAATAATAAAAGAAAAATATGAGACCAAGAGTTGGTCTGATTTTCTAAAACATACCTGCAGGAATCAACTTCGTGGGAAATGGATTACAGATGGAAAGTATTCTACACTATTATGCAATCTTACAACTACATTTTTAAAACTTTCAAAAAATAAAAACTCATTTATTTGAAATTTTTCTACAGCATACTTTCTACTTCTACAAACTCGATCATTTTCTCATATATGTGCACGATTTTCATAGAGACGGTAGATTTGATTTCGAGACCTTCGATAACTTTAGTACCATATGTTAAATTTCATCATCTAAAAACTTAAAAGAGTTAATTTGTATATTTTGTCTTTTATTTAATCGGCCAAGGAAAAAGAAAACAAAAAGATATTATGGTCCGAGTAATACTAAATTTCTAGATAAAAGCTAACTTTGCTGACATATTTGCTTACACAATTCATAAAATGATTGAAGAAGTTTATGGTGTTAGGACGTAGGATAAGAACCATATCTTAGCGTGAACCGAAAATGTCACAATTCTTTCATTAAGATCCACAAAGTTTTATAGTACAGACAGTCCCCACTGTTGTTTCCTTCTGAATTTTTGAAACTTTTGAACAGACTTCTGAGGTTGGTCTAACGCACACTTGTATTCTGCATGTTAGATGCAGGTTCAAGTTTGGACCATTTTTCGATTTGCGCGTGCTGACTTTCACTTTCACTTCCACTTCCACTTCCACTTCCACTTTGTGCAGGGATGGTGTTAATCTTCGCTGTATTGTTCCAATTCTGTACTAGGTAAACATCATGATAAATAATCTGTGATATGCTAAAATGTATCTGTGATCACATCAGAATGAACCCCATTTTGGTTTGTTTAAACAGATTTTCAGGAAATTATGATAAAAACCAATGAAATGGACGCTTAAAAAGTTAATAAAAATTGTGTGGTTGAAATGAATTTGGAGAAAATGAGTTCTAAAAAATTGAGATCAAATAGGGGCTGAACAAAATAAGACACATCAAAGATAAATTGTGCCGTGATAGACGACTTAATAGATGAAACATGTCTTGCACAGATTTCAAAATAACATTAACCTTAGCACAAAAAGTTAGAAAAGATGGGCAAAACTATTGTAACATATTATGATTGCAAATAAATTTTTTCAAAAATGTAATAATGAACCAAACGAAGTAACAAAAGAAATTCATATGGTCAAACTTCAATCTTTATCGTCGTATCCATGCGCCTGACATACCAAAGTTGTTTGGACTGAAAAAGGCGCCTTGGAATCTTAAAAATATGTTAAAAAGTATCAAGGTATGTACATTCACATATCAATCTTTATAACTTTCTTGGCAACAAACTAACAGAATTCTTTATAATTGACAACCACTGAGTTTTGTAATGGGATCATTTTCAAGCTCCCTTGAATCTTCGCATTTAAAGGCCAATCAAGGAAATCTTTCCATGTCCCGTTCATACGGTAAATGGGACACCAAGATTTTATGCTAAACAGCTTTGACAGGTGTATTACTTTAACACTATCAGAAAGGAATATATCTAATAAACACAGTGCATATCTGGCTAAGGTTAAATTCCAATCAAACATATTTTTTATTCATACATTTTGTAGGATCCATAATTTAATATCTACGTATTATCCACACTTTCAAAAGGGCCTAAATCTTATAAGAAATTAAAAGCACTGCCAAACAAGAATATAGTAGATGGAATGCCTTAGAAACAAAGGAAAGGAATTTAACAAATATGTTAAACTTAGAACACCTTCGTATTAACCATTCCAAATAAGAAAGAAAATGTATATAGCTAACGTCACCCATCAAAACAGATTGGCAGAACAAATACATTAAATTTAGAACTCCTCGGCATTTCCTGTTACAAAAACAAGAATGAAGATGAAAAAATATCACATAGAACACTTATGTGTTAGAAGTGGAGACAAATTTTGACTTTACTTCTTAGAGATAAGGTTGAAAATGATAGAGGTGGAAGCAAAGTTGAATTTTACCTCTTTGAAGGATAAGTTGTAGTTATCAAATTATTCTTTGCCACCAAGAAAAAAATTCAAACAAGTAAATCTACCAAGTCAAGCAAGGAAAGAAAGCCTATTGGTTGATAAAGTTCATCTTTAATTTTCAACTTCTAAAGGAGGAATTCAAGTTGTATTTGCCAAAAGATAAACCGCCTTACAAAATCTATAAATAGGCCTTAGGATGTGTTCATTAGAAATGTACGTTCAAGGAGTGTGTGCTAAAAACAATTGAGCACTAAGTGAGGATTTGGAATGGATAGAGTTATTTTATTTTATTTTTTTTGAGAGAGATAGAGAGTTTGATATCTCATTTGTAACTCCTATTTGAAACTCATCTTGTAATCCTCTGTTCTTATTTCATAATAGAGCCGCATTATTCTTTAGTGAAATCTATATCCAAGTTTTGCTATTTTTCATTATCCTGGGCTATTCTTTCCTAACAATTGGTATCAGAGCACCAAGTTATAGCAAAATTGGTGGAGCCTGTGTACCTATAAACAATAGCTGTGTTCAACAATAGCTAAGTTGCTACAATATCAATGATGGCAGAAGACGGAAAAGTTAAGATCAAAAAATTCAATGAATCGAACTTCGGATTGTGGAAGATGCAAATAGAAGATTACCTCTACCAGAAGGACCTTTACCTTCCTCTTGAAGGAGAGTCAAAGAAGCCAGTAGATATGAAGAGTGGGAGTTACTCGACCGTAAAGCCTTAGGTACAATAACGCTAACTTTTGCTGCATCTGTTGCTTTTAATATTAGAAATGAAAAGGCAACCGAAAGTTTGATGGTTGCTTTATCGCGAATGTATGAAAAGCCCTCTGCAACAAATAAAGTCCATCTTATCAAGAAGCTGTTCAACTTAAAGATGTCCGAGGGAGGGGTTGCAATAGAACATATCAACGATTTTAATGCACTTATAAGTTAACTGGAATCGGTTGATATTTCATTTGACAATGAGGTCAAAGCACTGACACTGTTATCAAATCTTCCAGAGAGCTAGAATCCTTTGGTTGTGGCAGTAAGCAATTTCACATGATTGGCAAAGTTGAAACCAGATCATGTTGTAGATTTGGTTTTTAACGAAGACAATCGTAGAAAAGATAGTGGAGAAACCTTGGGTTTGGCATTAGCAACTGAAGATAGAGGTAGAAAGCCAAATAGAGGAGCAACCACAAGCGAAACATAAGTTGGTCAAGAAATGCTCGATCACTATCTCGACTAAAGTTCAAAGGCAAGTGTCGGAACTGTGGAAAATCCAGTCATACAAAGCAAGATTGAAAAACACCAAAGAAGCAAGAAAACAACCAAGGAGACAAAAACTTTGTTAATGTTTCAGATGGTGAAAATTCTGATGCATTGTTATTAGCTATGGATGCTCAGGGAGAAACATGGGTAATTGATTCGGGTGCGTAGTTCCATGCTACTTCGTGCAAGGAATTGCTCCATAACTATGTACCAGGCAACCTCGACAAGGTACATCTTGGAAATGATGAGATTTGATATACAAATAAATCAACATAATGGAACCATCCTAAGAATCAAGGATGTCAGACGTTCCATGTTTGCAAAAGAATCTAATTTCAGTAGTTCAACTTACTGACTTCGATATTACAACCACATTTGTTGGGAACACTTGGAAGATGACCAAAGGAGCTATGGTGGTAGCTCATGGCAAAAAGGAAGGTACTCTTTATGTTACTTCTTGTTCTCATAGTTCCATTGCCATCACATCATCAGAAGTCGAGGCAAGTACGTGGCATCGTAGAGTTGGACATATGAGCGAGAAAGGGATGAAAGTTCTTATGTTAAAAGGAAAACTACCATGTTTGAA